CGCAGATCAGGATGACGCCTGAGGCGCCGGGTCCAACGCAATCTTGGGTCGGGGTCCCTGGCGCTTAGGAAGAGGGTAGCGTTTGGCCGAGCGAGAGCGTCCCTGCGTCTGCTGCGCCTTAGCGGGCTGAACGGCGGGGGCGGCAGGTGCTGGCTTCGCGGGCTGCTGAGTCGGCGCAGACTTAGGGAGAGCAGAGGCAACAGCGGAGCTGGAGCGCTTAGGCAGGAAATGTCGCATAGCTTGGGCCGATTTCTGTGCCTCCGTGAAGCGCTCGGCGAATCCTTCGACCGCCGGACCGAAGAGACCCTTGGGAGAAACTGGAGCATCGAGGAAGGGGATCTTATCCGCGTCCTTGATCTCTGTCAGCGTCAGCCACAAATGGCGCTCGAGCACCACAAGGCTGGCCATCGATCTCCCGATCGCCTGGGTGGGGGTCTTTGTGGCGCTCAGAGCCAGGGCCTGAAAGACCTGGAGGACCGCCATTGAATGAAGCACCGAAGCCGCCTGTCCAGCTGAAGTGTAGGTGCTTCCAGCGAGAGCTGAAGTGGTCCAACATGGCTTGGACTGGTGAGCGGCCTTTGCTCTCCAGCCGATGGCCGTGGGCGGGCAGAGATGCGCGGCCACTGACTCATCTAGGGGAGGTGGCTTATCGTACCCTTTTTCTTCAGCGCCGTCGCTGGAAGTGAGGGCGGATGAAGAAGCAGTATGGAGGCAGGCGGAGTAGGGAGCGCGCCAACGATCTGGTGAGCTCGTCATGGACCTCCGGGAAGAACGGAGAGGAATGCTGACGAGGGGTCTGGCGGCGCCCCGGCAGGAACCACTCATCCAGACAGCTGCGGGAGCTGCGGGAGGGCGGAGACCACTCCAAACCCAGCTCTTTGACCGCTTTGGAGAGGATACGGAGAAGCTCGAGAAGCTCGGCGTCTTTGGTGGCGCTGGGCACGGACGATGGCGAGGGGGTGGGGTCAGTCGCCGAGCCCAACAGCTCCTCTGCGTCCGATGCTGCTAATGACATGCTGTCATCAAGCAGCTCGTCCTCACTTCCCCC